GTGAGTGTGTGAGGGATGTGTGGAGGGAGTGTGAACAGTGAGTGTGTGAGGGATGTGTGGAGGGAGTGTGGTGTGAGGGATGTGTGGAGGCAGTGAACAGTGAGTGTGTAAGGGATATGTGGAGGGAGTGTGAACTGAGTGTGAGGGAATGTGTGGAGGGAGTGTGAGCAGTGAGTGCATGAGGGATTTGTGGAGGGAGTGTGATCAGTGAGTGTGTGAGGGATGTGTGGAGACAGTGAACAGTGAGTGCGTAAGGGATGTTTGCAGGCAGTGTGAACAGTGAGTGTGAGGGATGTGTGGAGGGAGTGTGGTGTGTTCAGGATGTGTGGAGGCAGTGAACAGTGAATGTGTAAGAGGTGTGAGGAGGGAGTGTGATCAGTGAGTGTGTGAGGGATGTGTGGAGGCAGTGAACAGTGAGTGTGTGAGGGATGTGTGGAGGGAGTGTGAACAGTGAGTGTGTAAGAAGTGTGAGGAGGGAGTGTGATCAGTGAGTGTGTAAGGGATGTGTGCAGGGAGTGTGAACAGTGAGTGTGTAAGGTGTGAGGAGGAAGTGTCAGCAGTGAGTGTGTAAGAGGCGTGAGGAGGGAGTGTGAGCAGTGAGTGTGTAAGAGGTGCAGGGAGTGTGAGCGGCGAGTGTGTAAGAGGTGTGTGCAGGGAGTGTGAATGGTTGATGTTGTGAGGAAAAGGCTGTTGTTAATTTATTGACGCTTTATTTCCCAGCGATGGATTTCAATGACATTGATGTTGGTTTCTCGGGCCGGAGTGGGGCGATGGTGGTCATCACTGTGCTGCTGTCTATTGCTATGGCTGTGCTCATCATCCTACTGATTGTTTCTATCATAGTCCGAAGTTAAACAATGGGCTTGAAGAATGAACAAATACAATCAGTCACTTATAAGTGTTCTCCTTATTAATTGTGCATTTTATAATTGTGCTCTGCACTTTCAAATGTTATGTATTTAATTTGTAATTCAGAGGGGAAGTTACTAATTGTGAATGGAATATTTCTATACCATGTTTTAATTTTAAGCATTAAGAATTTTATTTTTCTGTTCCATGAGAGTCTTTCTTAGGTCCTTTAACCCTCTGTCATTTCTGAAATGATCTTCCAGGCTAGACTTGATTCCTGCCTGGATCTCTTTGTTCTGATCAATCTGTCTGTGGGGCATAGGTGTGGGGGTGAACCCGCTCAGACTGTGGGACCCTGGAGAAGTGGAAATGATGGTTCTGTGCCTCCTTCGAACCTGATTAAAACACTGTGCACCATTGTACTCTTAATTTGTATTTAAAATATATATTTATAATCCAGCCTCGTTCAAGTCACTCAGAGAAACCTGGGAGCGAGTTCTATGGGTTTGGTGTGTGTTTGGCTCTGTGTGTGTGTGTGTGTGTGTGTTTGGCTCTGTGTGTGTGTGTGTGTGTGTGTGTGTGTTTGGCTCTGTGTGTGTGTGT